CGTGCTATTCTTCGTGCTCATTTGTGCACCTGCTCGTGCAACTTTTCATGCTATTCTTCGTGCTCATTTGTGCGCTTGCTCGTGCAACTTTTCGTGCTTTTCTTCCGGCTCATTCTGGGGCTTGCTCGCACATCTTTCCTACTCAGTTGGCAGCTTTTGGTGATCTTTGTCCATAATTCCCATTCCAAATTTCCGCATCCTCAGACCCTCGGACAGACTGTGAGCCATCACAATTTGTTAAGGTTCTGCTTCGTGCAACTTTTCGTTCTATTCAGTGTGCTTTTTGCCAATTTGGCTTATATACTTAGAGAAGCACAAAAAAGTGCACCCCCGCCTGCTGAATTTTGCACCCCCGCCTGCAGAATTTGTTCATGTTGATTCACTTGATTCGCACCCCGAGCGGTCAAGAGATTGCAAAAGAGTACTTGGTTTTTGTTTGGCTTGCCCTGATGACTCTGGGGAGGTTTTGGGACCCCGTCACTGAAAGCGGAACCTATCTCATGGAAACTGCTGAAGACCAACCTCCCCTTTGATACCACACATGTGCTGCGGCTGCCAGCTATTCCGCATCGGTGTTGGGTCCACAGGTGATGTCACTTGAAACACAACGTCGCGCGAATCTCCCTGACACACAATATCACAGAAAACTGGGTTCAGAACACTTTGGCTGCAGCAGCTAGTTGGTTCATGTTGATTCACTCTTGTGGGTTTCTGTTTGTAACAGTTAAGCTGAAAAAAAACAACTCTACAGTAGTTGATACATGGATTATATGGATGATGTTTCACGCAGCGACTCCTCATGCCAACCGTGCGACGCCCAGACCAGCCGACATGGTCTTGCTGGAGGCGGTCGACTTGAAGACCAACGAGCGGCTCGGCACGAAACGATTGATGCCCTACAATCCCTGAGTTAACATGGAAGTTGGTGGCCATTTTCTTGTACAAACAGGGGGTGAGCTCCTCCACTTCCATGTTAGTTCCAGGGTGACTAAGCCAGTAGACTTGCTCCTGAGGTTTGCTTGTGAGACCCTCTAGTTCGGAGACCGAATCCATGTTGCGGGTTTTCAGCTCCACATCGTCCGGTCTTTCCTTTCCTGATTTCGACGTCGCACGCCACGTCCGCCGCGTCCTCAGGTCGATCCTCACCGGGGAGCCCCGCGACGTGAGCAAGTCCACGGAGACCGACACCAGCGACGCGCCCTTCCGGAGCCACATGGTCTACAGCGCCACGTCGGTGACCAGCGGCCATGGGAAAGGCGCACCGGAAGAGATCTGGTTTGTAACGTTTTCGGCTTTGAAAAAGAAACCGGTGGAAGAACAAGGAAAGAAGAACTAAGATATGCTAAGATTCCGTGTTCAGCAACTGTTTTTTCGCGGTTTCCAGAGTTCAAAATTTGAACTACAAGCCTCCGGTTCATAGATTTAAACGGTGATAGTGATATAACCAAAAGTTCCAGGTTTCGCTTTCAAAGCTGTAGAACCCCAAACCCCAAACGTTCCTGGTGCGGTGTCTTCTTTCTGTTTTTTCCCCTGCTGTGGCCGGTCGCGGGTCGACCTCTTTGAAAGAGGTGAAGTCGTGGACACTGGGATGCGCACACAGTTGGGCATTATTGCCAAACGCCTGCAGGCCGGGGCGGGCCGGAAAGCCCTGGGCGGGGCGTCCAAGTCTTCCAGGCCATGTAATTGAGTCTGACACCACTGCTGAGGTAGTGCAGTTGGTTGGGTGATTTTGCTGGGTGCTGGCAGGATTGCCGGTGTTTTGTGGCTAGTTGAAGTTGCCCTTGGTTTAGGAAGAGGAGGAGTCAGTGTGGAGGCTTGATATTGTTCTTTTCCGGTACTTCTCCACCGATCATCAAACATACATCTCCTAGCAGCCAGCGGGGGTGTTCAAAAAACCGCTCCCTCCCCAAATTGGTGGGTTTGGGGGAGGGAGGCCTTTTCGAGGTCAGTTTGGTGGAAAAGATTTTCT